GTCCGTCGATAGGAAGTGTTTCTGATTCGACAATCTCGTGGTAAAAGTTCATCGGTCGGAGTCCCGCCCTAAGATTCTCGTTAGACAGTTTATGCGGCGGTTTATACTCGACTGTAGTTAGCAAGGTCCTGGTATCTCCATCAACACGGTGGATACAGAACTGGTCGGGGCGCGCAGGTCGTTCCTCCGAATTTGCTTCGTATGGCGAACTTTCGTCAAGAGCGTTGGCGTGGTTGTCGAACCACACTCCATCCCCTAGGCCAAATTCCTCTCGAGCACTCGGTATCTCGCACAGCGCTGAGATGATATCATGGACGTGATCTTCAATAGCAAAACGTTCGTAGCTCTCTAGGTCCTTCTCGCTGCTCAGAAGTCGACGTGCGAAACGGTGTCCCAGCCCCTCCAGCTCAATGACCGGCGCAAACAGACGTGGTGCATCTTTACCTAACGGCTTCAAGTAATGACAGACCAGGTTGTAGATTTCTTGTTGCTTAACAGCACACTCCGTCCAAGGTTCCAGTCGTAGAGGGCAGTACTTGCCGGTAGGGGCCGGAATCTTGCCAGTGGTAGACTGAGCGGGGTCTCCAGCTTTCAGAGGCTTCGAAAGAAGATTATGACAATGCTGAATGAATTCTTCGAAGGTAGTCTGACGATTTCGTGTTTCTGCCTGCTCTCTCAGTATCTTCTCCTGCCTCCTTTCTTCGTCAGCTTTCTTCCTTTCTTCGTCAGCTTTCTTTCTTTCTTCGTCAGCTTTCTTCCTTTCTTCGTCAGCTTTCTTCCTTTCTTCGTCAGCTTTCTTTCTTTCTTCGTCAGCTTTGAAAAACAGAGCCTTGTAGTCGACCGGGTCCGACATGGCTTTAATGAGTGGTTGTTGAGAAGGGTGTCATCATTGAAAGCGAGGGCTGAATGAAGAACGACAATACATATCAAAAACTAACCCCTGGAAGGGGTAGACCCCAGCGGGATGACAAAGCGGACGAAAATTGATCCGATGATTTGAACTTCTCCACGCGGCAAGGTTCGTGCTACGAACGAAGCTCTTTGGGCAGCGCCTTTGTGGCAGGTTTATTCATAGGCTTTCTAGTACAAGCTCTGAAAGATGCGAGGAATGCAGTCTTCACAGCGAGATCGTTCCGCGCGAAATCCGGCTAGAGAAACCGGGACACGCATTCAGTAAGACGTAAAATGCTTTATTAGGGGATCCACTTTGGATGTCCACTGCTCTTACTATAGATATTTCCCTGAAGCGTCAACCGGCCGCCACGTTGGCCTAGTAACGGTATTGGCCTTGAGTTGTTTGTTATGGTATTTTGAGGACCCACGACCCCAGCTGAAAATAGCTCGAGCCTGAAGACACAGTCTTACCTGAACTCAGGAAGAACACGGTGTTGATAGACACAAACAGATCATTCCAGCGGGTCACCTAAATTATCGCCTGAACGTTGCGCCTGGCTCATGACAACCACGCCAGATTTATTATTACTTTTCTGACGAGAATCGCCTCGTCGAGGCCTATGTTTCTACAGTCTGCCAGGCTCAAGTAGACATAAATTAAGCAAAACAAGGTGCCAAGCAAAACAAAGGGACCGCATTTATTGTTAAGGAGTAGGAGTCAGTACCACGCAATTTCGAAAGAGAGCTTCCGGAGGGGGTTGGGGCAGCTGCCAGATAAGCCAATATCCAGCATGCCCTAGTTTATTACTCTGGCAGATGGAGTTTTTTCCTCTCAGGGACAAAGAATCAGAGTTTGGCCAGCGTATGCAAGTATGCGTTGTTCAAATGCGGGGCAAACACCTTATAACCTCTTCTGTATAATCAAAGTCAGTATTTGTTTACCTGGACATAACACCTCAAGCATTCCATGACAATGGCTTCTTTTTGGACTGCAGATATTCATCGTCCTGTATCTACGGATGTTAAGGGTGTAGGACCATCCATCACGAATGTGAAACACTTGTCCTCGTATAATTGGATCGAATCGCCAACCCCAACAATTGCCGTACCCGGTTGTCCTCCTCTCTGGTCTCCACCTAAATCACCCAAAAAGGTAGACAAGGATTCTGGGCTCATTTACGTCGCTCAAAATGCAGCTCGCTATCCTGAAAGACCACTTGAGCCGCTTTTTCGTTCGCTGTTCATTGAAAATCCGTCCTACGATATACGCGCAATTGACCTGATAACCGATCGAAACAACCTTCGCAAACTTCTGGCATTTATCAATCCGAATCTCTCTAAACATGGACTCGAACCTTTCACTATTGAGGTTGAGGTCACGAATGAAACAGCGATTTTTTGTCGGGCCGAAACTAAAGCAATAGATATCATTAAACCCCACCAATTCAAGGGTTACGGTCATGAGTTCGAGAAGGCATTCACCACTTCTCAGATAGCGGGCAGTACTGGGCACCATAGAATTATTTCCTACGACTTTGGCGGTTTGAAGATTATAGTACGCTACGAAACTGACGCTTATATTGAGCCTCCGAGGCCTCAACATCCAGAGGAGTTGGAAAATGAAGACTTGCTAAACATGATGAGCGATTTGTCTCTCGCGCAACCCGCCAAATCATCTTACATCCCCACTGAGACCAGATTAGGGACCATGAAACAAGGCAAAAAGGTTCCAGTCTATTCAACCCTTGAGATCAAAACACGCGTGTTACACAAGCCTATCCGCATGCAAGAAGTCCTTCCACAACTATGGGTTTCTCAAACACCCAACCTTGTCCGTGCGTACCACAAAGGCGGCGTATTTCGCCCACCAGATGTTGAAGACGTCACACTTGAGATTAGTGACTGGGAAAAAGACCATGCCGATGATCTTGGAAGGCTGGTCAAATTGATCAAAGATATCATCGAAGTGGTGAAAGAAAACGAAGGTAGCGCTGTTCTCAAGCATGATGGTCGAAGAAATCATCTCGAGGTTTGGACGAGAGGTGGAAGCAAGATGTTACCAGCTGATCTATATCCAAAGTTCGATCAGAGACAGAAGATAATCCAAGCGATCAACTCGGGTTTCTGATAACAGCACCGGGTAGTCTATTAGGCACATTTTGGACATTGATCTTACCACCAAACTGGACTGAAGTTTCATTGACTGACTCTCCTTCCTGGTCCACATATTCCTTATGCGTCGTTATTTTGTGTTGCCGCTTACAGCACAGCCGTTCGCGGATTTTATATTTCATCTGAATGCGGATGGACGTTTGGGCTACTAAGCCAATTTAAAGTAGCTGATAGTGTCTTCATTTACCTCTACAAAATGGTAAATCAACGATCATCTGTATTGAGCGCCGAATTGGAAGCTGAAGTACCCTCCCTCACAGCAGTGAGGTAGGTAGGCCATCATGTTACTTGTGACAACCGCTCGTTGACTTCCGGTCACGGTAGTACACTCGAGTAACATAAAATTCACTATTGTGTCGGATGGTTTGGGAATGTATAGAAGAAGTTTGATTGCGTAAAGAAGGGACATAGATGGCGCACCGACACATGTAAACCTCTCCGCACTCAACAATGAAAATCATTGACCTCTTCACTTAATCTTTCAACGACAAATTAGCTATACTCTACAGTTACTTCTGAGAATCTAGACCATGTCTCAATTAGTTCCTGTTCATGATGCGGAGATGGATGCTACTCTTCATACCACCAAATCAATCTATTTTGCTCATCACCAGCTGTACTGATGCATGATAAAACACATACTACTCCCAATGCAAATCGCCACAGCAGGTCAAATAGACGTATAGCGATACCAGTCATGATTCTGTCGTGACGAAGCTATTTTACCAGTCCTTACCAGTGAGATTCTCGCATCTTAAACATCCTTTGGACAAATACCTGGTTAGGGTTGCACCTCCTTATAGTGTGTTACGGAAACGCACATCATTATGTAAGTCGCCGATAAGCGGGATGGGAAAAATTATTTGAAAAACGAAGTATTTTGGAGAGGAAGGACAGAGATATCAAGATTTTCTGATTTATTCGTCGCTTTACCTTGACTATGATATGCTTAGAGATCCCAGTCGATCACAGACTTAGAAGGGTAGTCAAGGATGTCGAATGCCCTTCTCGCGACAGTCGAAGCCCACATCTTGATATCTTAGATACTTTCTCTAAGACAGTGTAACGAAAAGAGAGAACAATTACCGCAGATGAAACCTATCATACATCAGAGCTCGCCGGCCCCGACACGAAGGGCGGTATTTAGTCGCACTGCACCGGCCGCCTCGAAACCAACATTTCGACCACGGCTATACCGCGAAGTTACTCGATGCCGTACAACAAACGCAGTGGCTAGTATGATAAGGACCGCTACTAATTAATATCTAACAATTGACGACGTCAGCGTATTCGATACGTTGCCCTTTTCCTCGGAGGGCACCGACGACGACGATGGGCTTGTACAAGGTGCTGAGGTCACTTTCAGCCGCATGGTTCGAGCAAAAAAGCCCGATGTCATCCTCTGTTGCTACCAAGGTTCTTCTTCCAATGAATTTGTATTTTTTAATTGACGAACAAGTCATATTAGATATTATTTATTAGTTTATTCTGTAATAGCTGCACGCTACGGTACTACGCAGCACGATATTTCTGCCTACCTAGACTTTAGCCTTTTTTGGGCTGCCAATAGGTGTCCCTATTCGCTTCTCCCGATTTGAGAGGATAGTCAGGTCTTTTGTCTGCTTTGCAGATTGCACGAGGATCTTATCGGTGTTAGTGATTAATCCAGTTGATAGCCACAACTGGAATTGTACCAGAAGTGTAAAAGACACGGACGGAATCCTATTGAGATGGCTGAGATTTGCGGGGAAACGCATGCAGCCACCATGCGGGGTTTGATCTTCGGAGGCAACAACCTCCACTATAGGTTCTCCGTTCTTAGCTGCAACACGGATCGTCAGGCACACCTTCCAATCCTTGGGACCTGCAAGCTTTATCCGGGGCAGAAATTACCCTTGAATCTGGGCTTTCTGGAGGCAAACCTCTGTGCGATACAAGAAAATACTCATACCAGTTCCACAAAATCTTGCGTCCACAAAACTTTTATTGTTCACGTGATTAGAGGCAAGCTGGGAAATACTAGAATCTTCCACAGGAAGTGGATCCTACTGGAGCGTGGTGTCTTCCTAGCGGACCCTCTGGATGTTCCCACTTTCAGGTCCACGACTGTTGTTCCATTATTCATGTCACTGGAAAGCCAGTTTACCGTTCGTACCAAAAGTTACATCATGGAAGAGGTCAGTCATTGTATCTATATCTGCATTAAGCAGCTCTTTAACAAGCATTATGAAAACAGGGTTTCGCAGAAGCTCGGAAGAGATTCGAGGAGTTCGAGAACGCAATCACTGAATTACTTTCCTCCTTTCCCAACAGTCGCCAACTCCTCCGCAACTGGGTGACCGATTTGGTATCACCACTGAAATCTCAACTGCAGGAAACGATAGGGGAGGACGGTCCTTGTAGCAAGAGCTTCATGGAGGGGATAGCGCCAGAAACGGTGTCCTCTCCCCCAAGCCTTCTTGAGGACTGTGAGAGTCTTGGAGGTACCCCGCGCGACTTACTCTGTCCCGACACACCATATTCGAAGTCTCCTCCACACACGAAGAAGCAATCCGTAGACCAAACTTCGAGACTGATCTTCGATGACATTGGGAAAAATCAATGTCAGGAATCTGGAGAAGTATTCTGCCCGCTTCCGAATCCTAGTTCGGTAGGCACCGGAGACTACTTTTCGCCTGGTAGGTTATTCCAACACCATTGATCAGAATGAAGAACCTAACAGCCAGCAGATGAATCGCATAGTTCTAATTTAGTGTCCTCAATGCTCGATTCAGGCTCTGCCACCCGGCCTTCACTGTGTGCAGAAGATTCAACAATGGACCAACGGCCTGGACTGGTTCAAGTTAGTATTGGACGAAATAATCAGCTTCTAGGTAGGGACGAGAACGACGCTCTGCATTGTGCGTCAGAAAAGCTGTGTCTGTTTCAGCAATCAAGCACATGCGGTCCTGAAGAGTACACCAAAGTGACATCGTCATCTGGCGCTGATACTTCCATGGATGTCGATGTCGGTGGCACTTGTAGTGACTTGGATAAACCTGACAGTCCAGCAGCAGAACAACCGTGGTCTAAAGATGACATTGACAGTCCGATAGCGGACGAGACGATTACCAATGAAGACTCTGCAGGTCCCTCCGAACCTCTATCCGATCCACGCAATCCACGCAGACCAAATTGTAAGCACAAAAAAAAACGCAATGCCAGTGGAACAGGTTCGCAACGGAAAAAGGCAAAGTTGGGACTGAATGAGCACCTACCGGAATTCGTGGGTTGTGAAATTCCTGCGCAGGAGATATACAGGCGCTTCGCAGGAAACTGCAAGAGTGACGACAGTCCTGCAATTCTCACTAACCTCTATTTCTCGATCGCTTGTCAAGAAGCTTTCGTGCAGCTCAAGAAAGCGATTCCTCAGCTTCGCGGAAGTATGAAGATTTCGTTTTCAGCCAAAACAGTGTTTAGTAACCTGCAGTCTTTGGATCAAGTGGCCTCAAACCTGACTGCTGGACGCATCATACAACGTCATCTTCTCGTGGAGCTGGTGAACCATCGGAACCAACTTGTGGAGAAGTATAAACCCGAGAGATATCGGCGGGCGAAGATGATCAAAGAGGACAAACGGCGTCTAGAGCGCCCCGACGGACTGGCCCTTGACGAAATGATAAAGGAGGCTTATCCGACGATGATAAAGGATTCAGATGAGTATAACAAACTCCGGACCACGCTAAGAAACAATCTGAGTAGTGGTCGAAATCCGCACACCCTCGCCCAAGAAATTGGGAGACATATCCTGGACCTGATACTAGTAGCCGAGGGGCCCGGAAAGTTGGGCGTAACGGACAATCAGTAAGAGCCTCCCCAGGAGCACCTTATATCATTCCACTGATGGCAACAGATGGGCTAGGGTGCCAGACCATGACTTCAAGCTTTTCACTTCTGTCCTAAAAGAACAGAGAGGTCGCTTCTTAAGTCTATGCGCTTCGCGCTTAGAGTCATTTTTTGACATTTGTGACAAATGTAATCGTAATGGAAGATATCTCCTGGAGGAGGTGGACGAGAGTTCTGTGGCAGCCGAGCGATACGACTCCTCTGGTCTGGTAGACATGCTTGAAATGGTGGTCGATGACCAGCACATTTTGTCGGCTCATGCCACCGTCGGTTGACGGCGATAGTATGAGATGTTCGCATAGGATGTTTGACTTTTATGGTGTTTGATGACTCACTAGCGCAGTGTGACTTTTGTGTGGCAAAGTCTGAAGAGAGCGACACTATCGCTCAATGAAGATCCACATGATAGTTGCAGATTAATCAGCATAGCAGCATAGCAAAATGTTTATCGTGTCGAACATGTCTCGCGAGTATGTTGAATATTTTGTGATCTGTGTTGAACACATATTAAACCCTTGAAGCAAAAAGTGAATGGGTAACAATTTGCGAGCAGCCACGGATGCCCTAGGAGAGAAGCGGCTGCTTCGGAGATTTAACGCTTTCTGTGGGTCTCGTATCACCCTTCCGCCAATGTGTAGGGCAACTGAGATGGGTTCGCGATACTGTTGACCAATGGACCAGGGCAACGTGCAATGTAGATGAATTTGACAATGTTATGTGTAAGACAAGCGGCAGCAAAGGCATTCCTGTCGGGGACTAGTTAGACTGATCCTACACACTTATGCAATTCTGAATGGACATAATAAATCATCCACATGCCCATCAAGTGCTCGAAATCAATCCAAGCAAAAGAGAGCGAGTTACACCATCTTCCCCAAAACATCGGGCCTTATCGGCATGAAATGCCTAATTTTAGTATATCATTGTGTTTATCTCTGATCCTGCGATGCATTATTCAGTCCTTGCACATGTCTTGAAACAGTTCCTCAAAATAATCTTTAAACACAAAATTCAGTAAACCTCGAAATTTGCGAGGAACTATATGTCTGTATTGAGAAAATGCTGGAAGGAATTGATATAGCTTGCTGCGGTCGACCTTGACCTTCTGTATAGGTCTATGCTAACCGAATACCGGCTTGTCCTTTTAAAGCCTATTCTATTATCATATTTGGTTGCATAATTGCAAGCGTTCATCAGCCGATATAGATATAAAGTAAAAATAAAGCAATAAAAGAAAACTATTTTCTAAGATGGTTATAGGAGTATCTCTAGCCTATTTGTACAGCTATAGTTGTCTATACAATTATTGCAACTTTTACTTGTACGTATAACTGGTTGTATAGGATATTATCCAACTAACAGTTTTCTTTCTATACTTTAGAATATATATTAGAGTTTCTTTTCTCGGCACGCATATCGCAGAAAAGTAGTGGAGGGTCAGGATATTAATAAAGAATTTCTTTAATTATAGTATTGCTGCCGAATAAATATGCAGGTGTTTATCTTCTGTTTCCTACAAGCTATTGTTAGTAAGGATCAGTAGATTAATCGGAATGCTATTCTATTTGTTTGCTGGTTGGAGAAATTCTTGCCAACTCTCGTCCAAGCTAGATACACTGGGTGACGATATATAATTTAAGGTATCCTCTAGGGCAAAGAGCGCAGCAATTGAGGCACTACACGATTTAATTGTCTTTCTCATAATGGTTACAATACAGCTAATATACCTGTAAGAAGACGTCCACTGTAACAGCAGCAGTTTGTGGCTGTGCCAGCTTACGTATCGGCAGAACAAGGCCGTCAGATGTGTTAAACTTCTGTATCGATAGAACAAGGATTGTTACGCATGCTTCGTTTTTCTGCCGACAGAATATCCAGTCGTATGCATGGCATGATTTTCTGCCGGCACAATCTTTTATGTAAGGTTTTAGTTTTGTACACGCAAACCTGTGGAGAGTAGCTTCTGCTGGCATTATTATGACGTAAAAATTGTAGTTTCTGCCGGAAGAATCTAGGATGCAAGAACAAAAAAGTTGCCTTCAACTCGTACAATACAATGCTCATCTTCATAGTTGTAATCCGCGAGCCAGTCTTTTGAACATTTCGAAACCTGAATCACAAGTAGTAAAAAGAAAGGGAAGATAACGAGTATACTCGTATCAGAGTAAAAAATCCTTGGAGCATCGTAGTAAGCATTACATGATGACAATAAACGCTGGCGACGAGCAAAGTTCTAGACTCCGAATCACTATTATTCTGGTAGTCTATTGCTCGTGTTCTATATACAACCTACTCACATCCTTGCGAACTTCGCAGTATTCTTGATCGAGTCGACCGCCGTGACGACGGTTGTATAGAAGACCAGCGCTTTCGAAGCGAGCTTGCCGATCGGCTAGGGAAACGCTTTTGGAAGGCTGAGGTCGCCGCGTCAAGAGTAGATAACTCTCTCATGAGCACCTTGAGTAGCTCATCTTCTTTCAAACTGTAGGGCAAAGCTTTGCGGCTCGAGCTATGTGATCTTGTAGATATCTGCACGGATTCAGCCGCTTGCTCACGAGCTTTAGCTCTGGTCAAAGGCCCGGCTGGTTCTGATTTCTCCACTGTCCTCTTCTCCCTAAGGCATATGCTGGCGTCGCCTTGTACAGTAGGAACCGTCTTCTCTTCGGAAAAAGATGCATTGAGATCCAAGGATGAGGCAGGCTCCTCATCCAGCTTAGTTAGAGACGATGATGCCTGCTCGATGGGCCTGGTGTCCATTTCGGATGAAGCTACATCTTCGCCAGGGAGTTCCTGCTCCAAGAGATCATCGGTTATTTGATGCAAGTCCCCAGCCTCAAGCTGCTCGATCCCGACTTGAACCTCTTCATGCTCCCAGGGGCTATACGCATTAGGTTGATCAGCCTTCTCAATTGGCTGGGACAAGAAGGGAGGCGGTATTTCTAACAGCCGTGGGTCGATGTCAACTGCAGTATAGGTTGAGCAAGCTGTGGAAGGACTCGAGCACGTGCTGCTATCATCCGTGAGATCTGGAGTGTCAAGTGTGACCGATGAGGCATCGGCGCGGTTCTGGTCTTCACCCACCACACCCGCGCTGTGGTAATTCTCAGCATGCCATGCCAGAGTTTTCAGTCTCTCGTGAGCCGCGATGGATTTCGGGTGTACGGCATGAGGGTCCCAGAAAATAATCTCTAACTCCTTCGCATCCCGTGCTGGCATTGTGGAGAGTTTCTTGCGGCGCTTTGGTGGTTTCTTATCCTGCATGGGCTGAGTTTGGCATAGACGTATCTTGTCGTCTAACACAGATGATGGTCGTTTCTTAAGCGCTTTTCCCGGTGGCGCACAGATGGTCTTGTGGTAACGGTGCACATCGTGAAGGTGTCGGCGATAATCTTGCTCTTCCGAAAAGTTGTAGTGGCAGGAAGGATCGGGACATCCCGAGGGCCACGACCTAAGGCTGATATGTCCTTCCAGGTGCTCTCGCAGCTCGTCGCTCCGTTCATAGGCTCTCATCCGACAGGCTGCGGAACGCTGTTCATCCCACATGCATTCAATACAGTACCCGGCACGGGTGATGGTATTGCGATACACCATCATTTCGTAGTGTTGACTGGTCATCGAGGGAAGGTGATTTGCACAGTGCTCTTCGAATTCACTGCTTTTCCCATCGTGGAAGGTAAAGCATTCCCAACAATACTTGACCTGTCGAAGCGGGGTCCTCGTGCTACGGGCATATTCTTGTCGTAGGCAACCATGGATGTGTGAATTCCGCCCAGATCTCGACTTGCTATAGGGCGTCAGTAGTCATTTGATGAAATACCATGGGTAACTCACGACTCTAACCAAAGGCCGCAACTCGCTACTGGACAGCGGCCCTGAACAGGCTCTTCTCCCGGACGGTAGACCACAGTAAAGTCGCGAAGACATTGGGTATAGAGATCTCTCACCACACTGGCTTTTTCGTCAAATGAAAGGGGCGCATTGGATGAGATTATCGCCGCTAAACGGCCCAATTCAGGCATGAGCTTGCACAGCACTTGCTTCTCTGCAACCTGTTGTTTCTGGTCAGACCGCTCGCGACCCCTGGTCAGAATTTTCCAATCACGTCGACTTTGAACCCATTCACTTTGATATTGTTGAAGTCTTTTGGAGTAAATCTCTCTTCGCAGTACCATGTGTTCTTTATGTATACGCTTAGACTCCTCGCCGTCTAATACGTCACATATCTCCTTCAGCTTGGCTTGCAGGCGTGGATCTGCCCCAATACTCTGCTCTTCCTCGAATGGTAGGCGACGTGGAAGACCAGCCTCGTGAAACTGACCGAAGCCCTGGAAATATTCCACATGAGCGTGTTCGACAGGCTTCCGTCTCACGGTATTGGTGGCATCCACGCTGGAACAGTCGGCGAGATAGTTATTGCCAAACACAGCCGTAGATTTCTGTGTTAAGATCTGAGCAGTGTGTGTCAGGGAGTACTTTTCTGCCCGAGTGTAAGTAAAACATAGACTTGAATCGGGGAAGTAAGAAAGACGACCAACCTTCGACCGCTGCACCTAAGGCACGGCGCATTGCATGAACTGTAGCAGTAACATAGTAACACGCAGCAGCCATAATCCTTCTAAAATCGGCCTGATAGCTCTCCTTGGTCATTGGGTCTTCACTGACCCCTTCAGCTGTTGCGGATCGAATGATGCATCGGTTTCTGGCCTCATCGTTCCATCGGAGGACTAACTCGTTCTGTCCCTCAGGGATTCTCTGCTCGAAAAATTCTTCAGGTGTGGTAAAACCGAAGAGAGCTTTGTCTGCAAGTGCCAGGGCCACGAGATATAAGGCTCCCGAGTATATGGGTTCATCGCACTCCCAGAGCGCGGTACCAAACCTTTCACTATTAGACATAAATCAGAAGCATGGAACATAACTGCTTACATCGTATTCTCGGGGTCTTTATTGTTCTTGACGAACTGTTGATCGACTCGCCATCCGACTCGCCAAGGAACATCACGAGCACGAAACAAAACAAGCTGAATATTCTTTTTTATGTCAGAAAAGTCAATGTCAAACGTATAGGGCTGCAAAAGTCTTACCTTGTAACGGAGCCCCTTGCCATCTCTTTCCGCTAAAGGAGGCGTGAAGGAAGACACACGGGCACCAGTATAAAGAAATTGAAGGGTGGCAAAATGAAACTGAATGCGATGTCGCCCGGAAATGAAGAAGGGGTCATCTGCAGTCCAGAGAGTAGTCATGACACGCTCAAAGTCTTCTAGTTTGAAATTAAACTTTGGCTTTCTGATAGTTGAAAGGAGACCCTCTTCGACCAGGTTATGCTCAATCCACTATGCTGTTAATAGAAGCATCGCACAAAGTAGCAGGTAGTGCTTACGTAGTAGAGGTCCTTTCGGTCCTGATTAGAGATCTCGTTTCCGGTTTCAAAGAAAAAGCCTGGGACAAACTCTTGCGCACGGATCAGAATCGTGTGCATAGTAGGTCGTTTATCAGAAGTAATTGTGCCCTCTGTGGAAGCGACAAGCCAGCGAATAAACGCTTTGAGGTCTTGTAAGGTAGGAACTGGATGACCCTCTCCAATCTTGTATCCCTTGGGCATGTTTCGTTCCTCGACGAGAAACCTATTAGATATTGTTAATGAAGGCTTCCTTATTCAGGAAACTGAAGACTTACTCCTCATATTTGCGTACCCTCTGCTTGTACATTTCCTTTGTCTTTGCCGATGCTCTACCTCTGGTTCTTTCTGCATCTTTCTGGATATGGGCTCTGGCATCGTAACCTCGTTGTCGACGAAGCTCACGGCTAGCTTTTCTTCTCTTTTCAGCCTGGGCCTCTTTCCATGCAGAAGAGCGTGCAGCCATTGCGCTTACTATAAATAAAAAGATTCTGGGAATTGAGAGAATGAGCAGTAGGAAATAAAGAAGAATTTGAATGCAGAGCGATAATAGAAGAACTGGAAGTACGCCGGCGAGAAGCCTGTATTTATATTACTGAATGAGGTGGAAATAATTGCGAATTAGGTCATCGCTGACTAGTCTTCTCCATTTTTGCAGGGCATCAACTAAAAAAGTATGGTTGTCCATCTTGAGTTGTGGTCAAAGAGAAATATCAGGCCCTGGTCTTTGTGATGCCTTCACAAAAGTGATGGGTTGGTGTCTCATATTATTGCGTTTTAGTTAGCACGCAGTTTAGAGGCCTGGTGCTAGTCACGTGGAAGCCAATCATGGTCGGAGCAGGAGCCGCTCCATAAACTCCGGGATCACTCAGTGAGCCCCCCTATCGCGGTTCGGGAGCGGTCGGAGCACTTGGTGCGTGTTCAGTGAGCGATCAGTGAGTGCGTAGGAGCACAGAAGGAGCAGTCACGTGCTGGCCTCACAAAAGCGGCGGCACCCGTATACGGCAAGCAGACGGGACTTGCAGCAAAACATTCCAGTAATGTGACAACTACGTCAAGTCTGCCCGCCCATGTGATCTACTTCTTAGTTGCCCATTGCCTCCCTGTAACTGACCATACTTCATACACTCAGTCATGCCAACCACAAGTCACTAGTACTCTTGATCAGTCTTGAAGGAGAATTCACCCTGCTCTTGCATGCTCGACTGGAATACTCGGCTAGTCATAAATTCGGTACAGATTAGATCACTCGTTGGCTGGTGAAGCATTTCCCAATTAGGAAACTCGCCTGACTTCAGCGCAGATTGACAGTGATCAGCTCCACAACTAATAGAATCTCCATGTGACACTATCGACCTGTGAGCTCGATCTATCACCGGTCCTTCTCTTGTCTATTGTCTTTCATGAGCAAGACGGCAGTTTCTTTGAACATCTGTGGCGACAATCTGCACTACAGATGACCACTGCCAGCCAGTATCAACACTCTGTATACCACCCACAATTCACAACCTACCATCAAGCCAACTAACAAGTAGCATATTTGCCCGGTCTTTAATTAAACACCTCTTGTTGTTCGCGGATAAATGTCAGATTTATACTGTCCACTCCCCCCTCGGGACCAAGATATATTTCGCTTCCGTCGCCCTTACGGAGTGAATTTAGAATCTACCTTCACACAAGGCCCGTCCCTCAACCAAGCCACCGCACCAAATGAACTAGAAGCACTGACTAGGTCTGCCACATCCCCTTCATAAGCCCTCAAACCTTGCCACACCAACAGAACCTAACCTAAACAGCTCCATCGAAACCAACGGACTCGAAGCCACCGCCTCAACATGGCAATCCCACTGGCTTTCCGCCCTGCCAAACGACGAGCTGCTCCGACTCAAAGATACCTGCCACTGCAACACGATCCAACTGGCCCTGGGATTCCTGACCCTCGGCCCTCTTTTCAGCCAAGGGACCCCCTTCGAGGGCGCCCCATCCCAGGTCTACACGCGCTGCTGGTCCGCCATCAAGCATCTCATTGAGCGATGCCACGCCTACGGGATCGGGATCCTCCTCAACTTCAACCTCACCGCCAACGAGGTGGATCTCCGCTTCAGCCCCGACAGCCTCGCACTCGCCCGGGACTGTATCGCCTTCATAGCCCAGGAGGTAACCTTCCACGCCTTGCACGGGGTGGTCGGTCTACGGGTCTCCACCTCCTCCAAGGAGCAGTCGAGGCCGGATCCCCCGACTCTCCGCGACTGGTACAAGGAGGTCAGGATGATCGTCAGCGCCATCGACGAGTTTTTGCCACTGTACATCAGCGATGATAGCCCCGCGGGGACCGAACTCTTCCGTGAATGCGAGGCGCCGCTCCACCACCACCAACAATTAGTCCAGGCAGACTCCGGACAGTCGGAACCGGCAGGAACGACGACTTTACCCTCGGCCCCCGGCCATCTGCTACTCTCGCGGGATGAAGTCCAGACAAAGGCCCAGAAAGCCCGGATCGAGCGGCCGCAGTTATTGAGGGAGGCCTTGGCGCGCCTGGAGGGAGAGGAGGAGGTACGGGAGAAGGGGGAGAGGGCAACGCAGAAATACTGCAACAGTGCGGCGGGACGGCAGAGTTTTGTCCACGGCTGGGATCTGGGATACAGCGATGCGCTGCGGTTTTTCGATGCCGCGGTGGAAGGGTTGGTCCCGCAGCGCGCGGGGGCGGACAAAATCGGGGAGGTGGAGTTGTGGGCTCGCCGACGGGCAAGGGACGTTGCACGGCTGGAAGAGAACCACCAGGCCTGGGAGCTGGGGCTTCGACGAGGGATTGCCGATTTCAATCGATTCGTGGGCATTTGAGCTGGTCTTTTTGGTTCCTCCGCGCCGGTGTAATGTTGCATATAGGTTCGTCGGTCCCTGTGTTATGAGATGTGATGTGGACCAGCTTTGAATGTAGATCCTCACGCAATTGGCAGTATACTTCTCCGTCATCTGTCAGATAAAGTGGCCGGACAGAAGTATGGGTACAGTACTCTCCAGGCGCCGAAGGTTCGGACCTGCATTTATTTCTCCGCAAGCACTGAGCTGAGCCTATTCCATTAGATATCTCGTAGTATACATGCCTCATGCCAAAAAGTCCCCAAGAAATATAAATACATGAAAGGTGGTCTAATCCTGTACGCCAGAAGACACTTTTTTTGGGTTCTAGAACACCTCCGGACCTTCAGAGGCCGCCTCCGTTTGGCGGGCCATATCCACGTCAAACGCCAAATTGCATGCTGATTTGTAGAATTCATGGAAGTCATCTTCAACCACGGACTCAGCCGCGCCGGGAATGGCGTCCGATAAGCCCGGGATGGGGTTCGCGATGTCCTTGCTCAAAAAGAGCTCGGTGGTACGGTGAGGCAAGAAAGGCCCACTCTCGTAGTACGAGTAGTTGAGCTGCTGGCCGCCAAAGTTGTATTTGTGGACCCGGGTGCCCCGGGCGTCGTTCACCGGGAGGAAAATGTAGTCTGCCGTCAGAGTTTCACCGTCCGTGACCGTGGCCTGGCCCAGAAGCTTACGAGGCAGGGTGATCTGAGTGAAGGTGGGAAGGGGAACCTCGCTACCACTGGACTCGAGAGACTGCTTGAAAACGTTTCGCAGGCTCTCCTCAAGTGCACCTAACGATGGATCGATTGCGGAACCCGTAGGAAGCTCATGGGTCAAGCGTCGGCTGAATCGGAGATCGAGCCCGTTCTCTGGGAGAAGAAAATCGAGTTTGCTTTCAGCTAAAACCACCTTGGCACTCTGAAGAGCGAATTCTGGGCCGGTGTAGAATGGAGACTTGGAGGTATTCACTGTGACCTCCACCTCGAGTTGAGGGAAGACCTGGGCATGGAAAGCTGAAGGTACCAATCGCATGCGGTGCACCTGTTGCTCATTGGACTTCTGAGGCACCAGATTGTTCAAGAACGGTGCCGCACGAGGTATATCAGTAGTGAACGTACGTGGGAGGGACAGCCGGCCAAGTTGAGGAGCGCTGACCGATGTCTCATCAAAGGTAGACTTGCGAAAGAAAAGACATTTTCCAACCGCCGCAGTGACAGACTCACAAACATTGGTGGGATTCTCGATGCCAATGGTCTTGTTGATCTTGGGATTTCGAAGCAATTTGAGAAGCACATTAGACAGACGGGATTGATGCTTGTTGAAGAATTTGCGCCTTTCTAGCAGGGAGCCGGGCGTCAAAATCTCGCTGGTCTCATGTGGAACCGCCCATCTGAACCACGAATGTCGTCGATCAAACCATGGTGTGCTGAGCTCGGGATCGGTATTATTGACGCTAGCCATTTCAGTAGCAGGCAGGTATGTACTGAACGGGGTAGGAGGGTTGTTTGTGCTGTGCCATGCAAGATGCAGTGCCCTGTGAGCATCATCCGCCTGCTGTTTGTTTTCAGCAAGATAGGACATCCGCTTGGGCGTTTGTGATGTCTTCACATCGAAGGTCACCCCATAAGTCTTGTTGAGCCAAGATAGAAAGTCAGGACTTTTGACGCGAGCATTAGCAGTTATGTCGTTCTCGTTGAGTGGCAGTGTGAGGTCTTCCTCCTGTATTCTCATGGTGGCGTCACGAATGATGTCCCTGATGGATTCACATGCATCCTGTCGTCCAGTTACCCTTAAGACCCCTAGCACCTGGGAGACATCAATTTTCACATCGTGTAGAACAGCGAGCTCCTCAAACGAGAAGTTTTCGGCGTTCAAAAGCGTATTGAATGCGGTGTCAGGCATGGGGACATCAAGCTGGCCGATTTCGCCATCGATACTAAGTTTCCAGCAATCCCGAAGAATTTTCTCAGCAAAAGCCTCCTTCCCTTTCAGACCCTGAAGTGCTCCAGTTCGAATAGAAGCACGTTTGGGTGCCGACTCCATGAGATTCACAACCCCAGGTAGCCAGAGTTTGCCTTCAGAGTCGCCCCGGGGTGTGTCTTTGTCTTTGTCTTCGTTGTCGATTCGTTGTTGAATGTATTCAGAGAGTTGTGAGCTCTTGAACGATGAGCGAAGGTGATATCTAAGGTCATTCCAGTCGGCGCGTGGTAATTTGTCGTAAGGTTGGTAAGCGGAGCCTAGCTCGTCAATGTGAGCAATATAGAGGTCTTCATCGGCAAAAGCGGCGTCTTTCTCCAATTCCTTCAGCATGAAATGTTTTCCCCTGGATTCTTCTAACGAATTTTCCTCTGCGAGAGGCTCCGAACGTCTGCGACGTTTGCGATCCTGGATAACCACGACCTGAGCCGGGTCTCCCAAAGAACGCACCGAAATTGGTATCGTGTGGCTCTTCGACTTTTGTCGTCTGATTTGCTCTTTCTCGCTCAAGACACGACGCATGCGCTTGATGCGGCCGTGCCGACGTCTGGTCTCCTCTGCTTCTAGGTCTTCTAGAGAAAAGAAGCCCCCGACGCTATCGCCCGCATCGTCTGTGTGTTTCTCGGATTTGAATCGAGCAATAACATTGCGCCTGCGCAACGGAAGGGTGTTCTCTGTTCTGCAATAAGGGCGCAGCGGACATTTCAGGAGCCCTACCACTCCTTTCGACGACCGGGAATTCATATGGAAGACGAGGCGTTTGGGATGAAACTCACGAGTCTGAAATCTCGCGCGATCGAAATCTTGAAGCTCGAAAAGAATGGAGGCAATCGCCGAAGACGCTAATCCCAAAATAGAATAGTCATGTCAGCCTCCGGGGGGCGTCGGCTCATCCACTTTTCTACTCTTTTGTACAGTACATACAATACGGAGAACCATTCTGTCTCTCACCAATGACCAATCTTCAAAACGCCTTTCGATTTAGGGCTTGTAGTCGGCACCGAGACTATGGTACCATTGATGGGGTATGATTTGTAGCTCTGTCAACCGGCTTTATGACCGCCGCGATTCACTCCTTGCTTGCAATTTCCCAGCTCCGTAGGTCCTCGCGGACATCGAACTCGGATAATTCATGGTCCGCATTACGACTTTTCCAGCTCCTCCCTTTCGGATTGTCATGGAGTTGTTGTTCGATGCTCCCATCTTTCCTAGTATGATCCGCGCTCGCCCCTGTCTCGGACACCTTTGGTTCAGTTCGGAAATGGTTGCTGGATGAGCTCCGAGGTCGCTTCTCGAAGCTACTGGGCGACAGACGATTTTCCGTCGACGTTTGCCTTATGCCCGTCCGGCTATACGGGGAAAGTCGGTCAGTGTGGTGATCGGTGGAGTTGGCAAACGGCGAGTGCTGGTTCTCTGCCCAGCTGATGCTCCCGGAAAATAACTCTTCAATTAGCTTATCCGCCGGTAGGTCATCGGCTGGCGAAATCCAAGAAGCAGCCAGGGTACGGCGATACATGTCCTGCATGTCAGTGACCTCTCTGCTCTGGGAGTTTATGGATGGCAGCCTGCCAAGGTCGTCGTGCTCGCCTTGTTCGGTGGAGACAATACCGGCGATCCCTCCGAACACCATCGCTGATTTGAGGGGAGGCCTGGAGGAGGTCAAATTGTCAGTCGCAAACACTTCGGGTGATGTCCTAATGCGACGGCAGAACGTACGTAACGAAGTTCCGATCACCTTCAACCTGGCGTAGTGCTATCCCGACCTTAAGCGTGCTGTTGACCTTGCTGTCCTGCATCAAGTAGCGCCTGACGATGCCCTCATCGTCGTCACTCTTATCCACATACTCTGACAAGTTGAGCTTGATCTTCCCCAGGATGCTCTTCTCATTACTTCCGCCCGACGCAAACTCTTGTATGACCTCGAAGTATAGTTCGCATTCGTGAAGCGTCTGGTTTCGATCGATTGTCAGTCGGACTTGCAGCGCTTTCTCGTAGTTCCAATATGCTCTGTGGTCTATAATAACCGCTTTGTCGGTATGCCCATGGTGTTCGGGTGTACATCCAGAAGGAAGGCGCCACTTGACAAATGCTGTGCCATTCACGAGGGGTACATTGTTGAGATCAATGACCTGAGAGAAAGCCCTCAATTGTCAGCTGCAGATAACGCTTGCAATGGCTCTTGACGGGGAAGCCCTTACTCTCAACACCAACTCAAATTTAGGCTATAAACCGATATCAGCACTTAAGACTCCTAAGCACCGACTCAAGCGAGCCAACTTACTCTCCTGTTCTTCGGGACTAGCATATCGCGCTCGAGGGTCAGCGCAAGAGATTCAGGAGAGAAGTGAGGTCACAGCGCCCTGAGAGGTCATGTGCAAGAGTCGGGCGCAAACGCAGAAAACATACCAAAGGCCTGCATAGCTGGTAAGCTCAAGGCCTACAGTTTCACGGCCCTATTAGAATCACTCGTTTCATTTAATCCGCAGATGGTTTTCCAGAGCAATCCACACTTTCACGATAACGTCTCCGGTCGACAAACCATCTCCGATACGTCCGACGGCTCTCCCCACACGCCTTACCGTGCGAAGGCGGCATATCTGCCACTACTGTCGGCAGGAACTGACCGCCCTTGGAGATGTTTGGCGGTGAACTATCTAGTCCGCTGTAATTGCGGCCGAGACAAAATTGCCTGAGCTTCAGCAACACTCTCAAGTCAAGAACACGATCGCGCGCGAAACGTGGTGTTGGCGCACGCAAAGTCACTTCAACTTTTTAGCACGCTTCCTCAACCCCGTGAAAATCAAAATGAACGCGCCGCCTCCAGCCGCAATGGATCAGCAACAACTGCCCCCCTCGCCGCCTTCTGAACCGACACCGTCGCTTACAGCCAAGTTGGTCCCGCTCGACTCGCCGGTTCGCACGACTCCCATCCACGAACTTCTCTCGAGCATCCGTGTTCCCGGCCCGCCTCTACAGCCACACCAGTATAACCCAGTCACCTGTGAACCAATCCACATGGATGATGAAATGCGCGCGCAGCTCGAGCAACTACGCCAAGAGTTTCCTTCGCCCGAAGCGGCACTGAAAGAACAAGAGCAGGTCGCAAGGGAGATCAAACAGAAGATGGAAGAGGCCGAGAAAAAGCGCGAGGAGGTCCAAAAAGCGATGGACAAGAAGATCAAGGAGCGATACACGGAGATGAAGGTCCTCTCGAAATATCAGAAGGTCAAGGCTTCGGATATCCCGTCCTGAGAACAGAAGCCGCAGGAACGGCATGCACAGAATCACAGAATCGCCTAAATATCGTCGCACAACATATCTGCCCGGCCGCCACCAAGCTTGCACCTTAAAGTGCAACCCGCGCCGTGCAGGAAACAGCGCGGTTTACCGCAAATACCGCAATCATATGTATTGCGTGCATGATGGAAGCCTTCTCCCACCCGACGGAGCCTGCTGGGGTTCTGGATTCATGACATATCGACGACTAGCGCTCATACGTCTCGTGGGCTGGACGACTCTTCATTTCGACTCTACCCACTAAGTCTTTCGACGTGAATATGGATTCCACTCTTATACCGGCTGTCGGACTTTGCATGTTGACGGAGTCTCCCACCTGCCTAGGGGAAAGAACGAAATTAAATGATACGAAGCTGCTACGAGCTCGGAAAAGACGTGTGGCAAGAGTCTAAAGAAAAGACTTGGCTCTGATGGAGGCGCTCCTCAATCGTGGGCTAGTCACGAATTACAATTAAAACATGTATCACAACCATATCAACGACGCAGCTCATCACGAACAAAGAAATACAATACAGCGCATGGTTGGTCATCAGCAAGTAACTCCGCCGTCAGCAAAGTGAACAATTATCCCGAAATTTATGCTCACAAGGTACCCAGCACCTTGACTAGAGCAGGAAGCAACTATGAATTGTCAGTTTCTAGCTTTTAGTTTTAGGTTCAATACGTAACAAAGGTCTTACCTCAGAAGCGTCCTCAATGAGCACCTGCGTTTCGTTGACAAATTTGGGCGTCAGCAGGTTATTAGCCTGACCAAGCAGGCCTCCGACTTCACCAAGCAACTCTGGAGAAAGGATTGGCGAAACGTCGTCAATTAGATCGCGCGTCTCATTGACAAACTTGGGCGTCAACAAGTATGTGGCATTTCCAAGGAGGAAGTTCACTTTTTCAAGCAGAGCAGGCGTGACGGCAGGTGACACGTTGTCGATCAAAGTCTGAATCTCTTCAACAAACTTGCTGGTCAACAACTTACTGGCATTTCCGAGGAGACCGCCGACTAGGCCGAGCATATCAGGAGATAAGATCGGGGAGATTCCATCGATCAAACCTTGAGTTTCATTCACAAACTTTGGCGTCAACAGGGCGTTGGCATTGTTGAGTATGCCTCCTACTTCGGAGAGCAGCTGAGGTGTGAACACAGGGGAGATGTCCCCAATCAGCGTTCGGGTCTCCTTGACGAAGTCAGGCGTCAGCAAGTCATTCGCATGTCCCACCAAGCCTTGTGTCTCGTCAACGAAGCTTGGGGTCAGCAAGGAGGTGGCGCTATTTAGAAGCTGGCCGAGTTCTTTGAGGCGAGCAGGAGTAAAGACAGGCGCCACCGCGCGAATTAGGCCCTGAGTCTCATTGACAAATGTCGGCGTCAGAAGTTCATTGGCGTTGCTCAGTAAGCCAGCAACCTCTCCGAGAACAGCGGGCGTCAACACAGGAGCAACTGAATGGATCAAGCTCTGGGCCTCGTGCACAAATTGTGTCGTCAACAATGTGTTAGCGTTACCCAGTACAGAGTTGACCTCCCGGAACAGCTCTGGTGTAAGAGCAGGTCCGACCGTTTCAATCAATGATTGCGTTTCGTTCACAAATCTGGGCGTCAAGAGTCCCTTGGCGTTGCTGAGCAAGGTGCCAACCTCCCCTATGAGTTCGGGGGACAGGATAGGAGCCACGGCCTTGATCAATGACTTGGCCTCCCTGACAAACTCAACCGTCAAAAGACCATTGGCGTTGTTGACCAAGATTCCGACCTCCTTCAGTAGCTCGGGGGTCAACACAGGCGTAACAGCCTCGATCAGCTGCCGCGTTTCCTTCACAAAGTCGGCCGTCAGTAATTGATTGGCATTGCCAATCAGACCGTTGACCTCCTTGACAAACTCTGCGGTGAGAAGCTCATTGCCATTGTCCAGCAACACGGAGACCTTGTGGAACAGCTGAGGTGTAACCAGGGGGCCAACAGAAGCGATCAATTGCTGAGTCTCGTTGACGAAGTTCGGCGTCAGCAGATGGTTCGCATTGTTCAACAGAGTAAGCAGCTCGTTACTCAACTCTGGGGTCAACAAATTATAGGCAGTGTCGAGCAAGGACTTTGTCTGGTTTGTTGTCTTGTCGTCGAACAGGTATGCGAAGTGGTGAAAGAAGGACTCAATATCTGTGAGTAGCGAGGGGTTCAAGAGGCCAAAAAGGCCACTCAAAAGGTCAGGCTTCTTTGTTTCAGAGCTTTGAGGAGCTGTGGTTGTCTGCGACCCCGAATTCTGTGATGGGCTTGAGCCTGCTCCGTCCTTTGCAGTGGAATCAGAGTTGTGGCCCCCTCCGAGAAGGCCACCAACCAGATCAGATAAGAGATCTCCGTGAGCACTTTGTGTGGGAGTGGCTTCTGCCGCAGTGGACGGCTGCTGGAACACGCCATTGGCAGCTGCCTGCTGTTGGGCAGCACTCCCATATGATTGCTGGCCGACGGGGATTGCGTTATGTTGATTGGTATTGACACTCGCACTGGGTTGCTCTTCGTTTTCTATCTTACCTGTCGTCTCTACTACCGGGATTACCGCAGTCGCGGGTGGATTCACTGCCCCTTGAGCGTCTGGCTGTGCAGCCACGGCTGCTGAGGTCGGCTGAACCGAGGTTGCGAACGAGGTGCCAGACAGCACGACGGCGGAAAGAAGGGTCGTTGAGAAGCGCATAGCGAGCGGATGCGTTTATCAACAGAAGGTCCGCAATGAAGGAATGGAGGGGTCGGTTCCAACTGAATGCAGGTTGCCAGGGCTCCTTATATGGTTCAAGACGCCCGTTACCTCTCGCCTAAACCATCATCGAAATGGAGCTAGGGTCCTATCAAACCTTCAGTGAAATGAACAGGATGGGATGGTGTGTTTCGTTCCATTGGGCTCCTACATCCCTTCTCGGTAGCATGGCCGTTGCGGTTAACTTCCCGTCCATAGACCAAGGGGATAGGGTTCGCTTCCGCAGTACGGCCGTGGTTCGACCAGGAGGGAACTATGCTTCTCGCAGTAAGTGCTCTCAAGGCTATTTTAGGGGTCCTCGCGGAGAAGTAAATCCGTTCGCTGTGTAGGTGGAGGAAAACAAGAGATCATCATTTGGTGTTCGGAGGCAGTCTACTTTTTCCGCTTAGGTTCATTGCCCCGGTGATCGACAGGAACGTGTTTAGCATCCGTGGGGACGGTGATAAGATGGCAGGAACAAGAAAATGTCTCTGGACACTACACTGGGATATGAGCATTCACTCAGAGGTACCATATTCAAATGCACCGGCCATAGGAAGTTCGAGTTGGTACCTGGCTGAATAGCGATGTCGCTGCGACATTTATGCATTGTCCGAGGCGATATTCCCTTCAAATGAATAAAAAGATAGGCATTTACAAGAATTATTCTTGCTTCACAAGTAAATCTACCTTCTTCTTGCAAGTGACTGTAGTCTTTTTTTTTTTTTTTCTGAACGCCGTGGCCATTGCTGCTGTAAACTGTGTCCAACTCCCACACGAATGATTCATCCATCCAAACCCCGCACCAAGCACTAAACCGCCAACAGAATCAACTCGGTAGCATGTGATCTCCCAGGCGAGGCGTGGTTGCAAAGCGGACGGTTATTGTTGCTTTCGGGACCACCAGGAAAGTCTGAATTTGAGGCACCGTTTCACGATAACATTTGACTTTGATGCTCCAGGGTGTCGCAAAGCGGGATTCGCGCCGTGGTTCTTCGCTTCTCGGAAGGGAAGTCTTAGCTCAATTGGTACGGAGGGAGAATAAGCAATCCTGGAGCAATCGTGACCTTTGTCATCACGCTGAAGAACGAAGTCCATGCTTGATATGTGGGCTCAATGAATAGACTGTGGTTCTGGGCGAGGTCGTTATAGTTTTCCTGTGGCTGTTTAATCAATAGATACAAGCGACTTGTAACTAGGTATTCGGACAAACGAACCCCAGCGGTTTAAACAGTTCAAACTATATATCGACAAAATTCATCTGAAATAACGAACAGCTTACTCTCTGAGCGAACAAGAACCACCGGCCATTCAAAAACCTGCACTGAAGATCATGTACCCCAAACATCGTTTATTTCTATTTGGAGGAGGAGTAACTTGCCTCAAAAATCAGACCCAAAATTATGGTTTGGATCGAACCAGGCGGGCCCCGAATATCTCCAAGAGCTTAACAAGCTGATACAAACCCCAACATTGAGCCCGCAACGCACAGGCCAGCAGCATCGCGCTTTCTTTCGTGTCTAGAGCTTGTGTTTTTTGTAAGGCTTGTCGTTCCTTTCTTTCCTCACACATATAAGTCATCCTCAAGCTATGGCCCATATCTAGCCACCACCGACCATGTTGCGTAACCTGCTACAGTCACTCCTGGCCGTGCATAACCACGGCACATCATACCTATGCTGGTTGTTTTCTCTTGCTGGCTCCCGCTGAGTATCCTACCTTGTTCAACTTCATTATCAACCCTTCATTAGCCATGATCCCGGCCGCCGTAGCCTGGCGCGAATCATTCTCATTTCCGTCTTGGCTGAAGGGTTTGATCCAGTTGGAAGTCGCGAGGCCAATGTCTTCCCTCATCCACCATAATTTTCTAGACTATCATTGCTAGTCATGATATGGATCGTGTATTCTGGATGGGTGGTGCTCAGGAGGAATCGATGACAGTCGTTCCTGCTCGGGTGGTAGATTTGAACGCGTAAGTGGGAGGAGATAGTGGAGTTCAGTCGAAAGGACGGGGTCGGGGGAGCTATGAGTATAGCTGCGGTGGTTTCCTATTAACTCTTGGATAGATAGTAAGTGGTTGAGTTGATAGGTACCTTAGATCATAGATGAATAGGTTGATGCTAATTCAGTCGAAGGGCAACGCAGCTAGACAAGGCAGTAGAGGTGTAGTGAGAGATCGCTAATGCTCCAAGACCAGGTCAAGCTAGTATCTCTCTCAGATAAGTCACCACCAGGAATAGCTGGAGTCTCTGGTGTGTTGCAAAGTTGCTCAAGTCCTGGACGGACGTTGCTTCTGTCTGTTGAGGACCGCTGGGTTGGCTGAGGCAGAATCTGTCCGCCGCGCCGCGGTGCAATTGGTTTCGTTCGCCTCTTTCGTGATGGTTGAGCATATAAACTTTTGACAATCATCCACCTGGGATATTACTTACTCTTGGCTCAGTCGGATCTGACAGTGAGACATTATCATAAACCACGCAAGACACACCAATGAAACTGTGACCAACTCCAGCAGGACCCAATCAGGAATCGTGGGACTCATCGTCGCAGACCAGTCGAGACTTATTTCCCAGATTCACCCTGCTAAAGCAAAGACACGAATAAGTCTGGGCGTAGCTCAAGACCACTACGGAATCTCGATGTACAACGTACCGATGAGCTCGAGCAAATTGTGCCACAGCCAAAGTATCAATTTTGACCCTGCTCTACGAGGAAACTACTCGCACATGCCATAATTCTTCCTCAACTTTCAATTTTCACAGCTTGTCGTTCCTTGTAACAATTAGGTGCTGACATCGGGTTTATTCGCCGAAAAAACGGTTCGATCACAGGCGGTACCAGTCCTTCTGTGTAGCATCTTTCAGGTTGGATGAAGGAGGTTAACGCCTGACCACCGTGGTCGTGATTTGTCGGGTTCGGACTAGTCGTCCTGAGTGAGGAAAAAATACCATTTGCTCACTTCGACAAGACAAGATCACAGCACGACCTCCGATCCTATGTGTCTCGGCTCGAAGTCTGAGCAGATCCTGTCTCAGTGAAGTATATGCAGCGAACCATGTTTGGTAGTGGTGTCAGAGATCCGAGAGTACGAGGACGGGTTCTGGCCAGCTTCGAGGTCTGAAAGTGTCACCAGCTTTTGATGTCGTATCCAACCCCAGACTGGACTCCCACTGACCTCATCCCAACAGGACTGAATCCAGGCCAGTCGATCTACGCGCTCAAAGGGGCTAGCCGAACACATGACCAAAATCATATGCATTGTCAGCAGCGCCCAGTGGGTTCGCACACCCTCTTGTTCAGATGAGGAAGGGAAAAAGACCTCAGGCTCCCGGCAACCTGCATACTCACCTCCCGTGCGGCCTACGGAGTACGGAGGACTAGTTCCGTCTTCCCCTTCATGGCTATCGGTTGAAACACGGAACAGGGATGAGCCTCGGTGAGGCAGCCTGTATTGGATGGTTGCAGGGCTGGCCAGGGACTAAAGTCTGACTGGGTTTAGGCAAGGCGAGGGCGTCGGCGCTTATGTACGGGGTTGCATCTCAAGTGCCATGTTATTGGGCTATCCGAGACTCTTCTCAGCCTGCTTGCCTGTCTGTCACAGAGATTCGATTCAAACTTACATACTCATACTACTCAAGATGCCCTAGGGCGGGATGACCGCAATGACCTCTTGTCTGCTCTAGTTAGTTCTTCGTTGCTCGGGCTTCGCATGTTGTGTTTCAAGAGCTCATGCGCAACGTCGGAGCACTCGCAGGAAAACTTTGGCTGATCAGCGCCAGTCGCTGCACCTAAACTGGTAATGGAAGGTATATTCTAAGCGCTAGATTGTAGTCACCTGAAAGGCAAGATTTTTCCTTGTCTGAGAAGTTGCCCGCATCTACTTACTTTCTCTCTCTTCTGCTTTCTACATACAAGGTTAGGGTTGAGAGTTTCCAAGGTTGCCTGTGGTTCTGGTGAACAGGGTTTTTACCCGCTCATTGTGACAATAATAGCCGCCTGCTGCAGTCCGACCGAATTCATTCTGGTCATCCAAGCCAGTCATTTGTGATTCTTTGCTTGCTGCTTGCTGTTTGCTGTCAGCTCAAATTCTCCGGCCAAGGATGATGTCACCCGCGCCTGCAGAAACCTCGCCACACAATAGTGGCTTAGCGAGGCGCAGCACTCGGCTATCGCCGACGCCGATGGGAGGGAAGGACAACCTCCTCTCCTCCCATAGGTAGCTTTATTCTCCGCTGTCCTCCTCTCCCTCTCGCCTCGGGACACAGTGTACATGCGTTACGCTTTGCTTTTCTTTTTTTATTTCGAAGGTACCAATCCCACAATCTTGCCCCAGTGGAGCTTCCCATGTCTTGTCAGCTTGTCTTTCGATTCTTCAGCTCGACTCTGTATAAGACAGTAGGGCCCACGATATGTCATTGTGCAGCGCTGGAGACGGTCATTCAGGCGCTCGACATCCAACCTGATGGGTCTTTGGGCCTCTAGCGCGAAGCTGACGACGCGCTGACTGCTTCTGATGCTGCGGTTCTTGCTCGTCTGTCGTCGGGAGCCGACTCCAGCCGATCAAGCGATGCGCTCTGGCACCGGGCCATGAACCGCTGTTCACGTTATACGGTATCATTCATGCTGCTCATCCAATCCGCTCATCCGCATTTGCGTCTGTCGTTAAACCCACTTCCGAGCGCGTACTGAGATTTCCAGGCGCAATCATTACCAAACTCGGTCATGCCGCAATGCGTGACGGACAGTCCAATCCGGGTTGATGCCGCGCGGGACAGACGAACAAACGAGGAGCCCATCACAGGACCATCCGTCCTGTCAGTCAGTCTCGGTATCGCCGGACACCTAGCACTTTCAATCCGTCTGCTCTTTCCCCTATGTGCACCGAAGTTCGCCACCCGGTCACAGCATCGGAGTCTATTGCCTGGGAAGGGCAATATCTCCAGCAGACCCTGTGGTGTCGCCTCGGGAAACCATACGAGGCACAGGAGTATCAGTCAGCCTGTCGCAGCCGCGTGTATGCGCATGCGGGCGCGCACACTAAGCAGTCCAGGTTCTGAGCGATACGGTCATCCCAAGGTAATGTGAGTGCATGCATGCATGCAGATCGGGATAGAGGACTTGCCCTTCCGTTCCTTTCCCCCTTCATTACAAGACTGGTAATGGTCGAGTAACGAGTCTCGTTACAAGTGCATTCCCAGTCCGACTGCCCTTCCTATTCCAGAAAGTCTGGAGATGACCGGTCGTCGAGGCCAGTCCAATAAGAGTCCGTAGCGGGGATCTCAGCTGCGGCGAGCGAGCCGGCCGCTGTGGCCCGTCAACGAATCCGCGGTCAGAAGAGGCATTTCTCACCTACCTGCCCAGGGCTTTTTAGCTCGCCCCACGACGCCTCTTCAGGTAGATTTCCTGGCCGTCAGTATCCCTTCAGCTGAGCGCATGGGCTCTTTCTGATACTCACTCCGGTGATACGGTCTGAGAGTAAAATCTAAGGGTTGGTTTCAACAACGAGGGTTTGAGTACTATCGTATGGATAGGAACGACTTGGACTATCCCGTACTCTGGTGGAAAGTCCCTCTTGGTAGACACTGTTCATTTGTCGATAAAGCCACGGCCAGATGCTGAATACAAACGCGCAATAATGCGGGTATCGGCGGCTATGAGTAGAAGCGCACTGGAAAGTGTATCGTCCACGAGTCAAAGACAGGTCGCTTTATTCTTGTTTTTTTTTTTTTTTATGCTGCCTTGCAATAAAGTTACTCCGAAGTATTCCTGATATGTTATGCTCATATTCTGTGTGGTCCAGCGCAACTACCGACAATACATTCTAGAAACCAGCCCAGAAACGGCATTACTCGAAAACTCCAGGATCTAGCACTAATCACGCAGGTCCATGATGTACAGCACAATGAGCAAACAAGCAGGGGTGTGATTCACATAGCAAGTGGTTAAACAACAATAGCTCATTTTCCCCTTCCAAGCCAAACATCTGTATAACTTCACGCACAGGATTTCCTGCATGCCAGAAATCATTCGCCCACCCCTGTTCGTCTTGCAGAAAAGGAGCCCGGACGCCCATCGTGAACCATGCCCCAGTTGCGATACTACGCCGACTCTCTACGAACCTGGATGTGCCCCCCTCCCTGATTGCTTCCCTCGACCTCTTGTGTCGAATCTCCCATTTTTATGTGTAGGTAGTACTACGGTAGGAGGATCGTTTCTAGTAAGGTATCTATCTCATTGGGACTCGAGTCGGGTACCACTGGACCGTGCGTTTTGTGGACCGGGACCCTCCCTTCGACCCTCTATCGGATGATGATGTTTCCCAGC